GGGAGGGAACGGAGGTGAGGAGGCACAGGGAGGACCAAAGAGAATGAACAGAGAGGCATGAACACTGTTTCCGTGTTCTTGGCCATCACCTCAAGTGCAGCATGCCCCACCTGAGCCTGGCAGGCTTTCGCAATGATACTGATGAACTCTGGGGGCAGACTCACTGGCCAACCTCCAACTCTCCAAACCCTGTGCCTCCAGGGCAACCAAAACTCAAATCTCCTCAAAGCCCAGCTCAAGAACCTGCTGGGGCTCTCCACTACCCAGACAGGGGGCAAAATTTTAAAAGGTCCTCGTTGCAGGCCAAGGGGTCTGAACTTTCATCTGGGGTGACTGAGAAATCCAGGAGACCCTGAGATAGGGCTTTTCTTTCCTGCAAATAGCACTAAGGGTCTCTGTCTCCACGCTAGAGTCATCTTTCACTCCTTCCTGCACGAAGACAAAATGTTTGGAGCGCTTGGCAGGAGCTTGGCACATACTCAATAAAAGCTTTGAATGTGCAGTCCCCTCAGTCTAGAACACTCGCCCGTTCCTGTGCCAGTGCCTTACCCCCCAGCTAATTTCTTAATATTCAGATCTTAGATCTCCCGGAAGCCTTCCCTGACCACCCAATCAAAACCTTTCCATCCTCTCATCACTCACTATGACTTCACCTAGTTGTACTATCTTTATAAACACAGAAATACGTGTAATCATCTGGATCTTTTTCTTTCTTTCTTTCTTTTTTTGGTGGCTGGCCAGCATGGGGATCCAAACCCTTGACATTGGTGTTAGCACATGGCATTCTAACCAATTAAAGTAACTGGCCAGCCCCCATCTCCATCTTTTGCTTGTCTGAGGTTGGTCACCTTCACTAGAAGTTACTTGAGAGCTAGCTGCTCCCAGATCTGCTATTCAGGGCAGCCTGCCTAGCCCCCAGCAGGTAGTCGGCACCCAGTAGCGAAATAACATTGTCCCAAGTTCTCACAGCAAAGCAGTTATTACCAGTGCCTTCTCCTCCAGCTCCAGGCGCAGGCTCAACCCTGTTTGCCTGAGGTCCTACCCGACCACCTTCTTCTCTGCCGTCCACGTATCAGAGCCAACTCCCACCAGTCTCTGCCCTTATGTGACTAGATGGTACCCAACCCAACTGAGGCCCAGGAGGACCCAGTCTGTGCTCCAGCAGCCGCAGCAGCCAGCCCCAGCCCAACCAGGCAGGGAGGAAGGTCTCTTTTCCATGGGGTTGTTGGCCCAGTTCCTATGCCTCTTGAAACCAGGAGGCCAGCCAGAGAGGGAGAAGGGCAGGACCCACTTAGGGGGGGGGGGCGGCGGCTCTGGGAACTACAAGGAGATTGGGGGAAGGAGGGGAATTAGGGTGCCAACTCGTCATTAAACCCAGAAGAACTGGCTGGTACCACCTGACCCAGCAGTTTGTGGCTCCTGCCTCAGGTACTGAGGATCCCAAACCAAAGTCTTGAGGACACTCTGACATGATAACAGCCTTGCAGGTAGCCCAGAAAGAAAAATATATATACATAAAGCTGGGGTGGTCCAACTGAGAACCAAAGTGGGGAAACAAACAAACAAACTAAAAAAAAAACAGCCTAGCAAAGCAAAGCAAAATCCAGCAGCTCTGGAGCCAGGCCCCAGCTTCATAACTGAGTCCCACAGCTATCCCACAGCTCTGTGACCCCTGACCTCTTGGCTCCCAGAAGGGGAAAGGGGGAGAAGGTGTGGCCAGGCTGCTGAGAAACAAGCTCCCACTGTGCCAGCCCCCTGGGACACTAGGGAAACAGTCTGTCTGCAAGGGGACTGACCCATCCCTTGGGATGGGCAGGAGGAAAAGCCTGGACTGGGGAGAGTCCCCACCAGGGAACTTGCAATGGTGGGGAGCTCCTCCCTGGAAGGCCAACTTGGAGACTACAGGTTTGGACTGAGGGTCAGTCAATCCCAGTTCTGCCACTGTCTAGTCATGTGACCCAGGACAAGCCAGGCCACCCCGGAGCCTCAGCTTCCTCGTCAGGACCTCTCGTCAGAACCACAGAGAAGGCCTAAGCTGACAGGTGGATGTGAGGAATCAATGAACTCATCCAGCCTGCACAGGGCCTGGCCCAGGACAAGTGCCCCGGGCTAGAGCCCCGGGGTCGGTAGTCCCAAAGGCCTGGGCCAGGGTGTGGGTGCCTGATTTGATCCCCTTAACCTCTTCTCTGCCTCTTGCCTTTACCCGATCAGGAACTTCCAAGACAAAATGAACAGAGCTTTCTACACTCACCTCCCTAATTCTTCACCTACAGGGTAGGGGCACAAAGAACTCAGGCTTGGGGAGCTGGTGCTGGGAAAACCATGGTATAAGATGGTGGCTGTGAGGTCCCATCTCCTAGGCTTGAGCCTCCAGGCTCTGGTCACAAAAAGTGGAGAAAGAATCCAGGACACTGAGATACTCAGGTCGTGTCTGCTGGGCTGCCTCCCCGCAGTTATATTGGGTGGGAGTGGGTGAGGGCCTCCCCTGCGGTAAACAAGATGCCTGGGCTAGTGCTCCAGACTATGTAACAAACTGCCCACACAAACACCCACTGGCTGGCCAGAGCCTTGGATCAGTTGGTAGAGGCTGGCCCAAGGGGGTAGGTCCGGGACCCAGAGGCTTCAGGGACGAGGTGTGGGAAAGAGAAAACCCCCTAGGTCTGATCCACAACTACACTTGGGGTGAGAGGGCATATCTCGGCATACACCTTCTGGCCACACTAGTTTCTCCTGACCTAGCCCCACTAGCCTAACCCAAAGGCTCTGCCTCCCCCACTCCCAAAGCTCCTACAGTAGTCGCTCACCTGACCCGATCTGGCTTCCCCCAACATCTCTGAGCCCTGACCTCATGTGACCCCTGCAAATGTCTCTGGGATCTCCGATCCTCCCCCACCCCAACTAACTCCGCCCACACCCACCATGCCCCACTTCCTCGGCTTCTCCTCAGCCGCCCCCAAGCCTGTAACCTGACCCACCCACCTCCTCCTGCGCCCGGGCTGTACCTGCAGCCGGCCCCTCCCCGCTCCCTTCCCGGCCGTTTCCCTCCCGCCGCGCCGCCCCCCCCCCCCCCC